GGGGGTGTCGGTGTCCCCCGGTACTGACCGTCCCCCGGTACTGACCGTCCCCCGCAGTCGCTGCTGGAGCTGCACAAGCGGCGGAAGGCGCTGAGCGAGCCCGAGGTGCGGTACTACCTGCGCCAGACCATCCTGGGCTGCCAGTACCTGCACAGCCACCGCGTCATCCACCGGGACCTCAAGCTGGGCAACCTCTTCCTCAGCGACGACATGGAGGTGAAGATCGGTAGGTGCCCGTGACGTGATGCCCCACCAGCTCCCCCGTGGTGGGGACCACAGCCCTGGGGACTGGCCATCCGGGGCGTCTCCAGTCATTCCCCGTCTCTTCCAGGGGACTTTGGCCTGGCCACCAAAGTGGAGTACGATGGCGAGCGCAAGAAGACCCTGTGTGGGACCCCCAACTACATTGCCCCGGAGGTGCTTGGCAAGAAGGGGCACAGCTTCGAGGTGGACATCTGGTCCATCGGCTGCATCATGTGAGTCAAAACGCCTCTTGCGCGGCTGTGGGGCCAGGTGGTCCCTGTGGTCCTGGTCTCGTTGGGCCCTCTGGGTTTTGGTGTGAGCCGAAGCTTTGGGCGTGCAGTCTCCTGAGTGCCTGCCCTGGCTGAGCCCTGCTGCCGGCCAGCACACGACCTTCCACTGTCCTCTGCACATGCTGGCCCCTTTGTGTCTGCATCTGTTATGCATCATGGCTGTCTCAAGGCGTTTCACAGAAGCCCATGCTTCCCAACTGGAACTTTCTCCAGAGGGTACTAGATCCCAGCTTCCCTTTTCAGGGGGCAGGAACCAGGCACGGTACACGTAGCTGCCTGCACTACTGCGTGTCCGATGCCAAGCATGTTTCCTCTGCCAGGAAAGTCCCAAGGTGTGCTTAGGATGGGGTCACTTCTGCACACAAGTCTGAGTCGCTTTTGCAAAACTGACACCCTTTTTTCTCTAAACATGCAGGTATACTCTGCTGGTGGGGAAACCGCCTTTTGAAACTTCTTGTCTAAAAGAAACATACATCCGAATCAAGAAGAATGAGTATACTATTCCCAAGGTATGGCGCTTCCCATGGGTGGACCTGTTCACCCCACAGCAGTTCTTGGTCAGCATTCTGCTGCACCATCCTGTTTCTGGCACTTAATGGGCTCTCACATAATGGTGGAATGGCTCTTACGGTGGAGTGCTAGGAAGGGGATGTCTCAGTCAGTGGTGGAGTGAACCTGTAGGGCCAACTTCCTCCTGAAGAGCCAGCAGCTCCTCTGTAATCCAGCAAAAATACCAGCTGGGCAGTTGGCACATGGAGTTCAATGGACACGCTCAAGTCCAAGAGGTCTGGGCCAGGTCCCCAGCTCATCCCGCTGCTGTTGATTCGGTCTTGCTAAAGTCAGTTGACTTTAGGCCTTGCATGCTATTAGGAGACAGCCCTCCATACCTGCCCAATTCTGTTTCCCCAGGCTTGCATCCCACTTGCCTGATGCGGTGTAGGAGCTCTGCTCCAAGCAGAACTTCCCCTGGGTTGTATATCCAATGCATTTGCTGCTAGTGTGCGTTGTCCCCTGACCCTTTTCTGTGAACTGTCTGTCTCCTCTTAGCACATCAACCCCATAGCTGCTAACCTCATCCAGAAGATGCTGAGGTCCGACCCTGCCACACGCCCAACTATCGATGAGTTGCTGAATGACGAGTTCTTCACATCGGGATACATCCCCAGCCGCTTGCCCACCAGCTGTCTCACCGTTGCACCTAGATTTTCAATTGCTCCCAGTGGACTTGAACTGAATGGGCGAAAGCCACTGACTGCACTCAACAAAGGTAAGTGCAAGTATCTGGAGGTGAGACTGGACTGCCTGGCCTCCAGCAACATCCAGAACCATCAATGGGGAATGTGACGATCCTTCACCTCTTCATGCAATTCTTATGAGAACCTGGATTATTTTGTGAGTGAGAGAGAGGGCTCCTTGCTCTTTGCCCAGAACCAAAGCAGGAAGGAAGTGCCAGCACTAGCTTTAGCTATATGGTATATAGTGTGTTTCCTATAGCTAGGGCAGAATGTAAACCTGGTGCCTTTAGAAACCTGCTCCCTGGTCATGCCTCCATGCTCTTCTCTTTCCTGGCCCAGGACCAGACAATCCTGCACTAGAGAACTTGCCCGAAAAGGAAGATGTAGCAGCGCTGCGGGAGCTGGGAGATGCTGTTGACTGTCACTTAGCTGACATGTTACAGCAGCTAACTGCAGTCAACTCAGCCAAGCCCTCCGAGAGAGTGCCAGTGAGACAAGGTGAGTCTGGGGGCGATCCCACAGGCACCAGCCTTCTGGGATAACTTGCTTCTCTGTCACTCTGATGCTGTTGTCTGAAGTGAGAGGCCAGCTGACCTCAATTTCAAACTGGACGGCTGGGAAGCCTTTTGGCCTTGCTGGGGTGTATGGGATGCGGTGAAGTGTCTTCTAACAAGCTCCTTTCCTCTTTGCAGAAGAAGCTGAAGACCCAGCCTGCGTTCCCATCTTCTGGGTTAGCAAATGGGTGGATTACTCGGATAAATATGGTCTAGGTAAATAATATGGGGGCAATGCTTTAGCCTTTTCTAGTATCTGAAGAGGCTGGGGGAAGCATTGATTTGGTCATTGCATAGGTCTGGTTCTTTAGTCACAGTATTCCAAGGTGTGTGTGTGTGTCCTTGAGACCACCACCAGGAACATTACCAAATACCCAGTGAACCCAGAGTAGCGGTCACTGAACATCAGCCCTGGCCACTTAAAGGTGGAAAATGGCTACCTGCTGCATAAGATGGCTGCCCTTGTTCTGCAATGAGCACATGTACCCACTGTGGGAGTTAAAGCTGCTTCTGCAGCAGGTGTTGCAACGAGGGAGGATGACATCTAGAGGAGGAAAAGTGTTGCCCAGACCTCCACAAAGAGGAGACTCTTTAGACCTGGTAGGGACTTGGTGGGGTGGCTGTCAGGTAACCCCTAGATACAGCCTTCTGCCTTTGTATTTCACACAACCAGAGGTCCCTTGTATTTGAAGGTCTAATGGGCTCCCTTTTGGACTAGGTTACCAGCTGTGTGACAACAGTGTTGGAGTTCTCTTCAATGACTCCACTCGCCTTATTATGTACAATGATGGGGACAGCTTGCAGTACATTGAGCAAAACGGCACCGAGTCCTACTTCACTGTGAGATCCTACTCCTCTGCCTTGAACAAGAAGGTCAGTCCTGGGGACAGGAGCCCTTGCTGGGGGGTGGCTACCCCCGGTGAGACTTCTGCCAGCTTTGTTGGCAGGGTGGGTTTCAGGGAGAAACATCTGTGACTTGGGATCACTGGCATTCTGCAGGCTTCCTCTTGGCTGGAAAAACATGGCTCCAAGGAGAGACACTAGCAGCTCTGTTTATTTCTAGTTGCTATCTGAGGCTTATTTACAAGCAGCTTCATAGAAATAAGTGCTCACAAGATTTGCATGTACTGAAGTGTTCAGCAAAGTGAGTCTCAAGTATCACAGACTGAGTTAACTTTGAATATGAAAATTTGCATGAGTTTGTGCAGTGACACCTCAAGCTCTGAAATGTGTAGAGAGGCTCTGTGACTGTGATAGCAGCCCCTGCCCTCCCCAAATAGTAGGGGTCATCCTCAGCCTGCCTGCTCACAGCCTTTCCTATCTGCAGATAACACTATTGAAATACTTCCGCAACTACATGAGTGAGCACTTGCTGAAGGCGGGTGCTAACATCACGCCGCGGGAAGGAGACGAACTGGCCCGTTTACCCTATCTCTGCACGTGGTTCCGGACCCGCAGCGCCATCATCCTGCACCTCAGCAATGGCACTGTGCAGATCAACTTCTTCCAGGTGAGGCTGCTGCTCTGCGTTTTCCAGGGCTGTAGCTCCAGCTGCTGCAAGAGCCCTGACATGCATGGTGCTAGGTGCAAGGCAGCAGGACAGTATAACCTCAGCTGAAGCTTTGGCCAGTGAACGGAGCACTGGGAGGCTCCTGACTCCCCTTGCAGGTACATAAGCCACCCAGACATTCCTCACTTGTGAAGGGGCTGTGTCCTTTAGCAGGAGGTAGACTGCTGCACAGTCTTGAGCTGGCTGGCTGGATCAATTTGTTTCCC